CAGGAGTCCTATTTACATGTCTTTTATTCCTGTCATTCAGCAGTACATAGAAACGTGACTGCACCCTTCAGACTCCATCAGAAGAGTCACAACTCTACCCCTGTACTTCCAGTACAGGTCAGATGAAACTCTGAGCTAACATCCGGTGCTCAGTACAGAGAATAGACTTCCCCTTTTCCCAACAGTACAGTTGGAGACAACAACATCCAATCGTGGGACTTATTCCACCAGGCTTGCTAGACCAAACTTTCTTATACATGGGAGTTTTGTGATCATATCTCCTTCTTTTCTTACTTTACCTAAACAGCTGCAGGGAACTCTGAATTTCATCAGAGCAGAAGCTACGTCAGAAGAGATGTCCTTCCACCAACCCCCTTTTTCCTCCTCTAAATTGCCTGCATTTCCAAAATGCTCTTTTCTCCCCACTGAGATAAAAACCACTGCCATGTGCAGTGCAAATAGAATAACACTGGCCTACCTTGCAAGATTGTTCCAAGATTTATTAAGATAATGTCCATGTTCAGATGACTGAATCACAGCCTGAAAAGCTGGGTTACAAATAGGAACAGTTTTTAGTACATTGCTGTACTAATGTACATTTGGTACATTACGATAAAACCTAAGTTGACCCAAGTTCAAAACAAAAAACTCTAGCCGCCACCACAGTCTCCTGGCCCCCACAAACAGAATGCATCACTCCAGGAAGGACCCCCACCCAACCTTTAGTGAGAGAGGGCAAAAGAAAAGGACTCTGCATGGGTAGTTGCACGAATCTACCAGCTGTGGTCCTGCACTGGCAGCAAGGCTAACAAACAGGGGAGCTGGGAACGTGCTGGTCCCATATCTCCCTGCATCTGCCTCCTGACCTAATTGTCCCAGCTTACCTCATGATTTGGCTGGCCCTGAGGGTGAACCGTGATGAAACCAGGCAGTCTTTATGAGCCATAACGAACAAACTTTCCATTTTGCCCAAACCAGGAAACTACAGCTGCCAGCTTTGGAACAAGCTGGGATATTAAGCTAACTTCAAACTGAACTTGGTGAAAAACAGGAAATTCTGGTTGATCAGTGGCTTCGTGGTTTGACTGATCCACTGATAGCAATAAAAATAGGATGCCCTGTTGCGTTCGAAAGGGGTTGTTTGGACAGAGTCTCTGATCAGCATGCCTAGCAGGACAGGCTTAAAAAGGTAAAGGGACCCCTGATCATTAGGTCCAATCGTGACCGACTCTGGGGTTGTGGCGCTCATCTCGCTTTATTGGCTGAGGGAGCAGGCGTACAGCTTCCAGGTCATGTGGCCAGCATGACTAAGCCACTTCTTGCAAAGGAGAGCAGCGCACGGAAACGCCGTTTACCTTCCTGCCGGAGTGGTACCTATTTATCTACTTGCACTTTGATGTGCTTTCGAACTGCTAGGTTGGCAGGAGCAGGGACTGAGCAATGGGAACTGACCCCGTCGTGGGGAATCGAACCGCCGACCTTTTTTTTTTAATAAATCTTTTATTAAGTTTCCACAATAAAAGACAAAGAAAGTACAAAATCACAAAAAAACAATACAATACAGAAACACAAACATTAAACACATCAAAAGAAAAAGGAAAAAAAAGATAAAAACACATATAATAACAAAAAACAAAAATTCCCTCTTTCTTAATTTCTCATCTTCAATTAGCTTATTTTCCGGACTTCCTCACATCTCCCGTTCTTGTATCCCTTTTTAAAAAATTAATTCAGCAAATTCATATCCTATTAATTTATCTGTTGTTAATCCAATCTTACATTTTACTTTGTTGCTAAAGTCCCTGCGATTCATTTCACTGTCCTTAACATTCATAAATTTTACAGTATTTCTGCAAATAAATTTTGAATTTCTTCCAATCTTCCTCCACCGTCTCCTCTCCCTGGTCTCGGATTCTGCCAGTCATTTCCGCCATCTCCATATAGTCCATTAGTTGCATCTGCCAATCTTCCAAGGTGGGTAGATCTTGTGTCTTCCAATGCTTTGCGATGAGAATTCTTGCTGCTGCTGTAGCATACATAAAAAAAATTCTATCCTTCTTTAGCACCGATTGGTCCACTATGCCCAGGAGGAAGGCCTCTGGTTTCTTCGGGAAAGTATATTTAAATAACTTTTTCAGTTCATTATATATCATTTCCCAGAAGGCCTTGATCCTTGGGCACGTCCACCAAAGGTGAAAGAATGTACCTTCAATCTCTTTGCATTTCCAACATTTGTTATCGGGCAAATGATATATTTTTGCAAGCTTGACTGGGGTCATGTACCTTCTTATTGGCAAGTCCTAGGCTCTATGGTTTAACCCACAGCGCCACCGGCGTCCCAGGACAGGAAGCAATTATTAATATTATTATTATTATTATTATTATTATTATTATTATTTGCATCCTGCCTATCTGACTGGGTTGCCTCTGCCCATCTGGGTAGCTTCCAACAAAATAAAAACCATCAAAACTTTCCTTGTAAAAGGCTGTTTTTGGAAGTCTTCCATTTTGTAGAAATGGCCTTCGGTTTTAAAGAATTGCCCTCTTTAAGGGATCACGTGGTGTAAACAACTCTTGAGATCTACTCACAGGAAGGGAGGTGGGACAGGCAGCTGAAAGGAATTGCCAAAGGTGTTTGAAAATGCGTGGGGGCTCTTGGGAAGGGGGTGCCCAATTGGCACTTCTCCAGGGGCAGCAGAATGCCTTGGGCAGGAGAATCCCTGCAGGGGCTCTCAGACTCCCTTGGCTTCTTCTTCCCTCCCTCCCAGGAAGCTGCAACTGGCTCTGGATTCTGCGCTCCTCAGGAAGCTGAACCTGCAAACCTAGCTGAGTCTGAACCTGCAACCCTGGCCAGGATGGAAGGAGGAAGATGGACGGTTGACCTGGTCAGGCTATCTCCCGCATCCCTCCCCACAACCTCTGAGCATTCCCTCCCAGGACCCTTGGAGAAATCTGGTGAGTTCCAGGGGAGAGGAGATGGGGAGAGGGATAGATGGAAGGTGGCGGGAGAAAGAGGAAAAGATGGAGAGGAGACAAATGGAAGGAAGTTCCTGACAGGAAGAAGGAAGGGATGAGGCCTTCTGCAAAGCAGCTCTTTGTTTCTTGAATCCTTTTCCTAAAGTAGTGGGGGCAGATTTTCTTCCTCCAGGCTTTGAAATCTTAGGTGTTATTTCCACGGCAGGAATAATTGATGATAATGATGTTGCACACCAATCCTGAACAATGGGTGAAGGGGAATGGAAATGTTTCCCATAATTATTTATAATTAATATACATAAATTGTTTCTATTACTCTTATTGTTTATAGACAGGGTCAGAATGATACATCCCACCAGCATCAAAACACAATAAATGCATGCAGCTCCCCAGTTTGGTGGGCTTAAGGGACAAAGGACCATTTATCATGATACACAATTCCTGTGGCTGGAGGCTCTACACTTAGGATTGGGTATATTAAGTCCAAGAGTGTCTGGTATTATAAGCAAATTGTGTAAATCTTACAGACTGGGGTTGTTGAGAGTCAGTGAGTGGGATAATAATTTATAGCGCCACTGTGAAAAGGCTTGGTTCTCCCGCACACACGTGAGACAACTCCAGTAGTAATTATCTCAAACTCATAAATCACTGTGGAGCTCAGTCTTCGGCCTGTTCAACCCAGCTTGCAGTTGCCGAGTCCTCCAGCAAAGAAGCCTCCACTTTCGCTCTCTTTCCCCTCTTCTTTCAGATTCTCTCGAGCCTAAGAGTTTTTGGACAGGCTATTTCTGGGGTCCCTGTGTCAGAGCTCAAACTGGAGCTAACAGTCTGTGCCCCGCCCCGGCACCCCCCTTCCTGTTCTTTGTTCTTTGCTCCTGCTGCAGCTCGGCTGCTCCTCCCCTGCTTCACATTCCAACCGAATCACATCTCTTGCCTTCTCAGGCTCTGTCAGCGGAGGCACAAGAGGCTTGAGATTCACAGAGCTGACACCCTGTAATTTTGTCCGTGCCTAAGCCTCCATGGAGATATTGTGGTACAAGCTTGGTGCAAATTTCAAAATAAGTACACAAAGCCAACAAAGAGACTCAGAAGTTTATAGTGGCACCAGCTTTCCTGGTCAAGAGTCCACTTTGTCAGACTGCAGCCCACAAAAGCTTAGGCCATAATACATTTATCAGCTTTTAAGGGCTGCAAAGATGAATAAACAGAAGCGTAGTTCATCTATGGACTTCCATCCTACAGGAGACAGTGACAGACAGCAACTTGGATAGCTTGAAGAAAAGGATAAGACTGACATCTCTGCTCTGCCCTCATGGTCCAGGCAATAATCCTTCTTGATACAAGTTTCTGGAAAGCACAGGAAGGCAGAGAAGACTCTTGTGCTCCAATCCTGCTTGCCGGTTTCCCACAGGCATCTGGTTGGCCTCTGTGAGAAGAGGATGCTGGACTAGGTGGGCCTTTGCCTGATCCAGCAGGCTCTTCTTAGGTTCCAATATCTTGCAATATTTCTACAGTTACATGTAGCACTTCAGTTTTATTTATTTCACAAGGGAAATACTGTTACTTGAGCCTGAGATCATTTCCTCACTTGAAAAAGAAAAATACAGAGATGTGTCTAATAAGCCAATTCCACCATAGATCTGTATTATAAAATGATGGTGCTTTATTAAGTTTGAATGGAGTGATCATGTGTTGCTCTTGCCACTATCTCATCAGCTTTCGTAAAATTTGGAACCTAGAGAGGATAGTGGAGAATGAAGGTGTTGAAATGAGAGAAGGTACAGATTGGGATTGACATGTGTTCAATTCCTTTTTTGTCTTTCCTGAAAGTCTAACAGGATTCTCTTTCCTCCCAGACTCCCAAACAGGTGAGGAAGATGAAAGTCAGAATTCTATGGAGCCACCTGTCAATTCATTGGGAAGAACAAAGAAACTGAGGATACAACAACAAACTCACAAAGGAGAGAAACTATTTGAATGTTTTGAATGTGGAAAGAGCTTCAGTGAAAGTGGAAAACTTAGAAGACACCAACGAACTCACACGGGGGAGAAACCATTTAAATGTACTGTATGTGGAAAGAGCTTCAGTGATAGTGGATCACTTAGAATACACCAACGAACTCACACAGGGGAAAAACCATATAAATGTATTGAATGTGGAAAGAGCTACAGTCAAAATGGATACCTTAGAATACATCAACGAATTCACACGGGGGAGAAACCATTTAAATGTATTGAATGTGGAAAGAGTTTCAGCAAAAGTGGAGTACTTAGAGTACACCAACAAACTCACACAGGGGAGAAACCATATAAATGTATTGAATGTGGAAAGAGCTACAGTGAAAATGGATACCTTAGAATACATCAACGAACTCACACCGGGGAGAAACCATTTAAATGTATTGAATGTGGAAAGAGTTTCAGCAAAAGTGGACACCTTAGAACACACCAACGAATTCATACAGGGGAGAAACCATTTAAATGTATTGAATGTGGAAAGAGTTTCAGTGAAAGTGGATCACTTAGAATACACCAACGAACTCACACAGGGGAGAAAGCATTTAAATGTATGGAATGTGGAAAGAGCTACAGTCAAAATGGAGCACTTAGAAGACACCAACGAACTCACACGGGGGAGAAACCATTTGAATGTGTGGATTGTGGAAAGAGCTTCAGTCGAAGTGGGGCACTTAGAAGACATCAGCGAACTCACACAGGGGAGAAACCATTTAAATGTATTGAATGTGGAAAGAGCTTTAGTTATAGTGGATCACTTAGAATACACCAACGAACTCACACGGGGGAGAAACCATTTAAATGTATGGAATGTGGAAAGTGTTTCAGTGAAAGTGGATCACTTAGAATACACCAACGAACTCATACAGGGGAGAAACCATTTAAATGTATGGAATGTGGAAACAGCTACCGTCAATCTGGAGCACTTAGAATGCATCAACGAACTCACACAGGGGAAAAACCACAGATACTTTAATAAACTTTAATAAACCGCATAGGTGTTTTTTACCTTTCCTTCTATGCTTCCTTGCAATACTGATAAAATCAAACACCCTAATGCTTTCAGCCCCAGAAGAGGAGCTTCCCCTTGGTGTCAGGGGAAGGGTCCAAGGGAGGCATCTGGAGCCCTACCATCCCTTCTGTCCCTGGGCCCCTTCCCCTCCTCTCTCTGCATCCCTGGGCACTCCTTACTCCATAGCAGGAACTGGGATCTGTCTGTGATGGTGAGATGTCCTGGCTGGTTGAAGGACCACTTCCCTGTTTTCTGCAGCTCTATCCTGCTTCTCGTGGAAGCTGGAGTCATGAAGCAGGCGAAGACTGAGCACACCTAAGGGTGGCGCAGGGGGTGGGTGGGATTCTGCTTAACCTTTCCCCGTCTGCTCCTTTTCTGGATCCAAATCCCCACACAAAAAGGGGCAGTGTGAGGGCACAATCAGTGTTATGGAGCTGCACTGAAAATCATTTCTTTGTGACTGTAAGAGGCCCTTCTCAAAAAAAGAAGCATCAAGAGAATTTAAGCTACAGAATTTAAAACAAACAGATAATTACAAAAAAAGAAAGCAGTCTGGTGCCACATTGCGTAGGAGTTAGTTTAACACACTCTTCCTGGGGCTGCCTTTGAAAAGAGCTCAGAAACTTCAATGGCTCAAAGAGCTGCAGACACATTACTGACCAGGGCTGGCTATAGGCAGCATAGGACTCCTATATGAGAACAGCTCCATCTGCCTAATTGTCTGTTTCTGAACTCAATGTTTCCACAAGAAGAGGAAGATAGATTTGGAGTGCCACATTTTCAAAAAAGATGGACACACGACAAATTCTTTGTGGAGCTGAAAGGCATGCCGTGTGCCT